ATGGGCGACCAAAAGATAGCAACGAAAACTGGCGCACGAAAGTGCATGGTTAATGAGCATGCAAACTGAACTCCATTGGTCTGCTGTTCAAGGTTAGCCGGTAACTTCACCGAATCAGACAAACCAGAGCTGTGACAGGTCTGCATCTTATTTGCTATTAGCTTCAGAGCTTCACGGGTGGCGGCTGTGAAATTAACTACGGAGAATTCTAACAGGGGGTTTCAACTGTTTGTTCGCTGAATACCTCTCCAGGGAATAAGTCGAATTGTTAATGGCTAACCAGCGAATGCCTGTTTATTTGGGCTTGTGAGAATGAGCTCTGCCTAGCCTGTTCTTTCAGGCATGACTAGTTCTGCCGCTTAGAAACGCTTTCTGTTTTGCTCACACCATTATTGTGCAGTTGTGGTTGACTCAAGCTGTTCTTTAGTTTTATGAAGTTATCCTTCGAAGTGTCATATTCCATCTGTTCGATTATTTGTCTCAGCGCCATGTGGTAATACCTTCATAACACCAAACCTTTTACCCTTTGCGGACTCCTCCGAAAAGCGATTCTGTCGGGCATCGTTCACTACAGATAAACCTCAGCCAACACATTCATTTCAGGAACCAGATACCGTTATAGGCTTGTTGCTGCTAACATTTATTCTTTGCTTCGAACTAGTAGATATTTAGCACAGCACTCTTTAACTGGCGAAAAATTCATTCAAGCCCTATGACGATAACTCCACGTTTTCTCATATTTTGTTCTTTTCACCTTTCAGTTTTACAGTTCTACATACTTTGTGACTGTGATTAATTACGGCATTGTTCCAGTGTGCAAAAAAGAAAAGTATTCCACTAAGGAAAGTAAACTATTGAAGCTAATGGAACCCTCGCTTTTAAGCGAATTTGTTTCTTGAGTAAATATGACGCTTTCTTTCTTTGTTAACTCTACCGATGAACTATTATAATGGTTCGTTCTGCCATTCGCTCACATTCTGCTAGTTGTGTCTCGCCGGAGGACAGTTCCGTCGCTTTGGGACTACAGATATTTTTTATGCGCACACTAGGTGAGTGCTTCCATCGTCCCACGTTTTATTGCCCAATTCTGCTCGTATGTTATTTTTGCTCTCTACTTCATTCGGCGGACAAAGCATCCCAGGGGGCACACAGAAGCATTAGTGTTTCCAATATGAACGCTTCTACAAACCTGCACTTTTGCTTAATTTGTAATCAAACTTCACCTAATGATTCGCTGAATAGAGATCAAACTAAGTTCAACATCCCGAATTCAGAGACCGCGTAACTCAGCATCCCAGGGTGTTATTTTTCCTGTTATTAGGTAGTGTGACTCGACCATGAATATTACATTCCAAAGTTCCTTTATAAAACATACGATCCCTTGATTGAACGTTCAGTTCCCCTTTATCGAGGACATACATCACGATGTTTTACTTTTAATAGACCTGACCTTGGAGGTGTTAACTTGACTTTGTTCATACTCAGTTCATTTTTTGTGTCAAACTCAGTGAAGGTTTGAATCAGCACATGCATGTGTACTCACTTAGCTCAGTTTTAACACACTCCCAGAATTATTTTGTTCGACGGAATTCGACGTTTCCCTGTGATCCTGCTGTGAGATAATCAGAAGCTTCCGTTAGATTCGTAACAAAATTTGAATACCACTGCACATTATGCACTCACCAGTTGATACTATCGCGTAACTGATCAGACAAATAATACCTTGTTCAGAAGTATAAGTGTCCATCAACCATAGGTTTACTTTCTGCAAAGTATTCCGACTTTGTATGATTTAGTTACGGTGGGACATGTTTTCCACGAAATGGTAAACGGATTTATGTAGGGTTACCAGCGGTAACCGAAACATCGGCTGACCACCTACTTCAAACATCGCAATGTTATTGAATATCAAACATTTATCTGAAACGCGCCTTCAGTCTACATTGTTTTTCGGTTTCCGCTCGTCACAAGTTTTTGGGTTGATTTCACCCATTGATCGTTAATATGGAAAGCCTGTCAAGTGTACGTTTTATCACTGAGACCGTTTTTTCGAATTCAGTTAATCATATTACCGCCGTTGTCCTCATAAACTACTGATTATAACTATTTTTACTTGATGATAACCCAGGATCTCGGTTAAACCAGTCCGCCTCACTTCTGCCTCGGGGTAACTCTTTAGACTGGCGGCAAACAACACTATTTGTTTCATGTGCGTAATGGAGAATTTGATGAAATTTCAAATGGGAATTCGTCGTGTCTATGCCAAATGAAGCGTGAACTGAAAAGCTAGGAAGCACTGGACAGCTGTTTCGACCTGGTTGGGTCTGATCAGCAGTGCGAATCCATCGACATAACTGGAGATCGAACCCGGGACTTCATGGGCAGAACGCAAGCATGCTACCCATTCGGTTCCACCTTTGAGGTCCCGGGTGCGATCCCCAATTAGGTCATTGGATGCGCACTGCTGATGAGACCCAACCAGGTCGGAACAGCTGT